CAAGTGAGGTTCTGTCAGCTCACATTCCCTCCTTGATCCTTGTTAACCCCGTCTGCAGAGCCTAGTGGCAGCTCTTTCACTTCCCTCCTGCATGGTGTGTGAGGCTGACGACAGGCCCGCTAACATCAGCAGGCTTGGGAGTCTGTGGAGGCTGATCGCAGATTGCGGTGTAACCTTCGGTAAGCAGAAGTTCATTGAACTCTCAAAGCTCTCTGCTTGTGCCTGGAGGAAAGCCAGGAAGTGTGTAAACTCAGCCGCCTTGTGATCGCTCACACAGCCGAGGCCAAGCTGTGCAAACACACTGTATCTCCTCCACAGCATCCTTCTCCATAACAGTCCCAACACTATCATGGGCGTTGACGTTGGTACAAATTGCTTGGGAGGGAAGGGGACGGGAGAAAATCTGACCTGGTGCCAAATGTAATCTGACATTTCTTATCAAAACACACCTTGAAGTCACTTCTTGTTCAAGTGGAAATTGGTGGCTTAATGAAAATTCATGACAGTACCTCCTTTCCGTAAATTTTAAATGTTTTGTTGCCTCGAACTAATCATAGAACTAGTCAGAGTAACACAGGCCAACAAAGTGCTTCATCTAAATGTGCTTGAACTCACAATAACTCATCAATGAAAGACTAGCCAGAGCTGTTTCTGTTCATTTCCAACAATTTGACTTGAAAGTGTGAAAATATTCAGATTGTGCCCAAATCTGTCATTTCATATTGCTGCTTTTTTCCCTTCACAAAAACTCAGCAGTCCACCTACATCTAAAGACAGATGGTTTGAAAGAGGAGTGAAGGAAGTCATCTAGAGAAACCATGTCTTAACAGAGGAGGAGGTTTAAGACACCACCTATCAGCAACATACAACAGTCTTGACTTCCTTCCCCAGGAAGTTTCACTACAATTCACACCTTAGGAAACATGGCTCACAGGGGGCGGGGGGAACAATGACTCTCGACCACCTCCATACGACTACCGACGAAACCAGCAGCAGGGAGGGTCCAGCCTCTCAGGTAACCTCAACGACTCCTAACGACCCTACAGGTTAAATACCTGGGACTCCCAGTAGTCAGTTAGAGCTGAAGAAGCCTCTTGGATGAGAGGTGAAGCGTCTTCAAGAAACTCAGCCAAGTCCACTTGACCTGTTTTCTGGCACTTGGATTTATTTCACAGTGCCATCTACCAAACTGGTAAAGGAAATATGTTTCATTGTCTGGTTGGCTCTTTGCGTTCTCCTATGGACGCAGGTGGGAAAGCAACATGGAGGCAACACAAACAACATGGAGGAGAGTGAATCTGACAGAACAGGAGAAGGACTCCAAGATAAACGCTCCACCCTGCCATTAGTGCTGTTTATGTCTGTCCTGTTTTTGTGCAAATTACTTTCTTTTCTCTGTTTGTCCCCACTGACACCTGTAAAGCGTCCTTGGGTCTCTTGAAAGGCACCAAATTCAATTATTATTATTATTTTAAAGACAAAATGAGGAGCTCATACCCAAAAGAGGCACTACTTGTGTTGCATGGAGGTGTTTTGGGTATAAAACCTCCTGGCTAGAACACTGTACTTTGAATTTTAATACCACAGAGCAGTCCACACAACTGACACCACTAACCTTTTACCACCTAATTATGTCAGACCGTATTAGAGAGAGTCTGAGAGCCATGAAAGTGCAGTTGAGAGCTCTAAACAAAGTCCAAACTCAAGAGGCATTTACCTGCAGCAACAGAATCATGAAGATGGAAGGCAATTACAGCTGCTGTAAGAGACATGGCGCCATTTTACAAGGTTAAGAAAAGGTGGAATAACTTGTCACATGTAGCACTACAGTTATCTGGAAATGTTGCCTTCAAGAAGAGGCTGCATGACTTATGTGATTGATTGTGTCGAGGCCCAATCAAAGACAGAGATCTTGAACGGAGATCAGGGATGGATTCACCTTAAAGCCTCAGTCTGTGTTCAACAATGTAGTAGAAACTGTCGTCCTATCCTTGAAGCAGTGCTGTAGCTGTTCCAGGCAGGCACACTCATTAGCTGTGTCTCAATTCAGTGGCTACATCCTCCTGAGGCTGGAGACTGATTGTGTCACAGTCGCGCAACTACTGTTCCGTCATATGCCACAGAAAAAATCTTTGGGTCTCTTGGTCAGACAAAAGAAGACATTTGAAGACTGGGATCTTTTACTTCTTTTACTGTTTTATGACATTTTTTATTCAGACAAAAGGATTAGTCCAGAAGGAATCTAAAAATGAATCCATAGCTGCAGCCCTCCTTTGGTTTGGAGTGGTGTTGGAAAACAGCAGACGGTGAAATTTTCCTGACAGATTCCACATGAATCAGCAGAAAGGCCTCTGATAAGGGCTAACTAGGGGTGAGCTTACCATGGTACAGTGGCCCTGAGAGGTCAACACATTGCAACTCAAGAAAACACATGCAACATGAGAAAATATCATCGATTTGGGTTCATCACTTTTTTGTGTCCCCCGGAAACGCTTGAAGTTTGTGTTACTTGCCGTGTGTTTGTCTAGTTAGTCTATTTTGTTGTGTAGTGAGACAAGGAATGCTTGTTGCAGGAGTCAAATTCTGCTTAGAGTGTCAGAAAGGCCAGAGACAGCTCTGACACCTTGTCGTACATGGCCAATGAAACCTTCATATAAACTGTGAGGATAAGCACACAACCAGTTACTTCAAGAGCGTCTGAATTGCGACTGAAGAGTTGAGTGGGTCAGCAGTGTGGGGAAAATGTGTATGGCAACCGAAATCATAATTACCTTCTAAATTATTTTTAGTTCCACGAATTCATTCATGACCAGGGGCAGATGACTCAACCACTTTAAACACAAATTAAAAACAGCTTTGTGTTCCCGGAGGGCAATTCTAAGGCACATAGAGCAAAGGGATGTCATCATGTTCAAGGAAGTGTTTATTTTTTGGTTCAAACTAAATTTCCAAATGCAGTCTGGTATGGCAGTGTCACCATTTGAATAAACAGGATTAAGTGCTTTGGGATCATGTGATGGCTGCATAGAAGAGGATGCTAATGTTAATTGGCAGGCGGGGTTTCAGATGTAACAACATGTAATGCAACAAGTGCCCCTTCATGACCCCACCCTCCTCCTCCACCCTACCAAGCAGGTCACGATCTCACCGCACAAGCAGGATAGAGCACAGCACCAGTCCAGGAACAGGCAAACCTGGTGCCAACAGACACTAATAAACTCCAGGCACACCCAGCAAGGGACGTGTGCATTATGTACAAAGAATAAACTGAAGACACGGAGTCCGAATGAAAAGTCACCAGAACACACAAAGTAAATATCTTGTGTAACATTGCATGCAAAGCCATCGTAGGCCCGAGGACAGGGTGAGCTGGGAAGCTTGAGAAGCAAATCTCCTAATATGGTAAATGGTCTTTATTTGATACAGTCCTCATGACCAATCAAAGTGCTTTACAGTGCAGCTATACTTTCACACATTCATACACTGCATCTATGTGCAATTTGCCCAATGACACTCCAGCATGTGGAAATTGCAGACTTGGGAAGAGTGGGATCGAACTGCTGACCTTTTGAGGATGCCCGTCCCAACCCCTGAGCCACAGGTATAATCTCATTATTCATTGACTGTGCAACCACACACTGAAACTCTGCTCTCAAGGTTTATCTGATGAACTGGAATGCACAGAGCTGCAGCCTGCACAGACACACTCAGGGCAAAAGAACACCATCGTTTTTAATTGGCCGACTACAGACGGTGGCGCTCTCTCTGCGCTTCTCTCTCATTTTCCTGTTCAAGTTAAAACTTGTCAAACAACAGTATCGAAACGAAAGAGTCAGATGCTGCGTCACACTCTCAGCTCGTCCGGGTTACAATAAAACAGGTTTACCCCCAGAAACCTGCTGCTTCTCTCGCTCTTTGTGTGTCCTCCACTAAAGTATATGGCTTCAAACACTGATGCAGGTTCATCATGGTTTCATTAACAGGTTTCACTGGAGCTACCAATTCTCTGATCTGGATCGATAAACCTTGGGTAAAATATATATGTGTGGACATTTTTAACAAGGAATATGTGCTGGACAGATAAAGTTTATATTTTATCTGGTATATTTGCCCAATTCAAAGTTTTTCTTCAAAACTGTGTCCCTATGACCAGGTTCACCTGTTATATTTTGGGCACATGCACACAAAGACCCCCAAACTATACAAATATACAACACAATACACAATACACCTCAGCATCATCTGCAACAGACAGCATCTCATCTCTGTTTTTTTTCTTCAGGTGATAAATGGTTTGCATTAGTCTGTGTGAACAATTAGGTCCCCAGTCCACAGCACTAATCCAGAATGTTCCAGAGTGTTTATGTTAAAACATCCCAATGCAGCAGCAGCAGCAGACTGTTTCTCTGGAGGACAGCTGGCACACAGTGGCACAGGCACCTGAGCCAGACATTAATCCATGTGGCTCTGATGGAACTGTTAAAGGTGGGAAGAGCAAGACGGGCTGATTGCTGCTGGCCCGCAACATTTGAATCATACTTTGAGATGTCCTGATCCAAATAGAACCGAATCGGCAAACCTCCACAGATCTGTATCTATTAACTTACAATCAGCTCCTCTCATAAAGATATTTATCGAGCCATTAAATAATTGATTGGTTCAGTGGCTAATATTGACACTGAAAACTGATACTAATATTTTATATGCCTTCATATTTGATATGGTCAGCGAATTGTACACTTTAATGTTTCCTGGGCTCTTTCAGTAACTTGAAAAGCTTTATTTTAGTTATTAATACTTGAGCATATTTATTGTATTCATTAGTAATAAAGTATTTAAGTTCATTAAATAAAAAATGTGAATTCATGTTTTTCGAAGAGTTTTGAAAGCTGCGTTACCTTGATATCAAAACTTTGGCCTCCCTGTTGGTGGCTACAGGCTGTGACACAACCATCCACCTCACCTGAAGTTCAAGAGTTAGTGAAGATAAAGCTACTCACTCATTCTCCAGCAGGGTCATGCACACCACCTCTTTGACCCCCGGGTTGTTGGCCTTGTCACAGGAGCAGCCCTGCAGGCTCCAGGTGCCCAGACGCACCACGGGCTTCCCGTCCCGCATCCCCGGCGGGGGCTCCACGTTGGGCCGCACAGAGATGATCTGGGTCGGTCCTCCGGGCGGGAGGTCCAGGTCGTCGCTCCTGAAGCTTAATGAAGTCGGGCTCGGGTGGGACTTGGTGCAGGTCAGCCCCCCGTTGGTGTTGGTGGACGGCGCCCTGGAGCGCTCCACATACACCTGGAAGCGGATCCTGTCCAGCAGGGAGCTGTTGATGTGGGTGACCCTCACCAGGTCCTCGATGTTTTTGAACGGGCCGTTCTCCGCCCGGTACACCACGATGTTCTTGGCTATCTTCTCCGTGATTCCGCGGATGCTCATGAGCTGCGCCGGGGTGGCGGTGTTGATGTTAATCCCCGTGCAGGGCTGGTGATCCAGGTCTTTGCGCAGGGAGGACGGGGAGTGCTGGGACGAACTGGTCCTGCTGGAGACGCATATTTCCAGTTTGATCACCTCCAGTTTGGTGGCTCCAATGCCGCTGACCAGAGCCAGGTCCTCCACCTTCTTAAACCCGCCGATACAGTCCCGGTACTCCACGATGTTCTGCGCAACAGTGCGGTTGACTCCCGGCAGGGTCATGAGTTCCTCCTCGGTGGCCGTGTTGATGTTAAGCCGCTCCTGGTTCACCAGGATGTGGCCGAAGTTGCACGCCGCGCTGAATTTGCGCTTCCCGCAGCTGAAGTCCGTGGGGTCCTTGGGAATGGAGCGGTGGCAGCCCAGACTCCCACCCATGGCTGGAGCGGGTCACCGGGGCTCGGTGAGTGCGGCGGTCGGGAGGAGACGCTGGGCCACGGCAGAGACAGAGAGAGGACGGGCTGAAACAACCATGACGCAGACAGGAGGAGTGAGAGTCACGCAGGTTCACACACAGGTTCTGACAGCATCGCTCTCAAATAGGTTACAGCTGCTCTATACGCACCACACATCAGAGATCCTCCGGCCCCCGGCTACATGCTGCATGTGTCCACACACACACACACACACGCACACACACGCGCACACCCCGGATCAGCTGGTCGCTGCTCCGCCTGCAGCTGAAGCCTGTGTCCTCAGAGGAAGATCCGAATACGCACGACCCCGCAGACTTTGCCCTCCAACGCTGCGTTATTGGACACGCGCACTTTACAACCATCTCCTCCAAGTCACACAGAGGCAAACACCGGAAATCATCACGTTGTTTTTCAAAGTAAAAGCGACACCACGCGTCACGTTGAGTAAAGTCAACGAGCGAACGCACGGTGCCAAATACCGTGAGCATTTAAATAATGCACTATAAATAACACTATGTGCAATATTACTTGAACTTTTCATGTGCAATTTTTTCTATTCATGTATAATACAGTATTGCAGTTTTTCATGTGCAATACAGTATAATATGTGCAATATTACTATTAATCTGCTATATATATATTTTTTTTCATGTGCGATATTGCTTTGTTGTTTACTAGTTTTTTTTTCCTTTCCAATATGGTATTCATGTACAATGTTAAGTGTAACATTAGTATTCATGTGTAATAGTACAATGCTAAGCATCCTATTGTGTTCTATATCATGTGCAATATTACTTCCATTTTACCTACTCCTATTTATCAACGATTACTACTTCTTTTGCCACTTTAGTAGTGGTTTAGTGTCTAAAGTAACTTTTTTTTATTTTTGTTTCTATTGCTATTTGCACTTGGTTTGGTTCAGCATTTACTCTGTAAACACTTTATATTTCTATTTTCACGTATATTTGTCATATTCAATACTCAAATCGATTGTAAATTGCACTGTAAGTGTAATCTCTGAGCAAGATGGCACAATAATCTACGTCTTAAAATTTTAATAAAGTCCAGTTTATCTTGTCTGTAGGTTTAATGCTCAGAGAGACTGTGGGAGTTAAATAAATAAATAAACAAAAAAAGGTGCCTTGTATGTTCAAAATGTGCCTGAAGTGAAAATAAATCAATACATTTAAAGGTGGCCCAAAAAGAAGTAAATAGAAATACGTAATTAATTAATTATTATTATTCAGTTATTACCATATTTACAACTTTCCACATTTTGTACATGTAACCGTACTTGTAATTGCTAGATTCTATTCACATTAGATTCTACATGTATTGCCAATTCTGCTACTGGAAATTGAATTCAACACAAAAAAAGTAATATTCAAATTCAATTCATTTATTTATTTAGCTATTATCTATTTAGGTGTTTATTTATATATATAAGTATATTATTTAATGTTTTTCCCAAGTCACGTTTGGGCCTCCATAGGAGACAATTATTCTAATGTTAATCAATTCACACTACAGTAATTAAAAACTCTAACAATCATGAATGAAGACAATGTGAGTATTTTTCACTCGGGTATGCTTTCATATATGTACCTTGGATTTATTTATATATTTGCCTGAAGAAAATGAAATGGTTACTTGTCAATCTGGCTTTTATTTTGAAAGTATACAATGCCCTCCTGTTGCTCCGGGTATGGTAATCAAATGTTATTTGTCACCATAGACATGAAATATAGATGTGATGCAAGTGGTGAAAGCATTCACTGCTTCACTGTGGCATCAATTGTTGCAGAAATGTAATTAGCACTCTGACTCCTTCCGCTCTGATCCTGTCTGATTGAATCAGTGCAGTATTATACTTTGTATTTCAGACAAGACACATGCTTTGACTTCAGTCGTTATCAACAAAGCCAGTGATTACCCTTTAACTGAATGCTTTTTCTCTTCTGTAATGGTGTTAAGAACGTCTCATTCACAGTCTGGATGATTCATTATTAACAGCATAAATCCCACTGCCTTGAATATATCCCTTAAGAAGATTGCAGGGCTTCCTGAAGCACATGTACAGGGTCTTAAGAGGATTATGTGGTCCTGAAGGGGTTTCAGGGACTCTTTTTGTTGGTTTTGTGGCACTTGGTGGCTTCTTGATGTGGTTGCACATATTCTTGGGGGACATTGATGATTTCTAACCACAATATGGACAAAGTACATTGTGTAGAATTTTGTCATATCTAGTGTTGAAGTTGCATGTTGCAGCTGAACACCCCTCACCTCACCCTCTCCTTCCAAACATGAAAAAGAACCTGTTGTAGCTTCAGTTGTCATAAAAACTCAAAAGTGTTTAGTTTGTCCAGTCTGGACTAATGTAAAAAACATGGCGGCCTCCGTAGAGAGGGTCCCCTCAATGTAAATATAAAGTGTTTAAATATAAAGAGCTTTTTCTGAGGTAAAGAAAACTACAATTCATACAATTTAGATGAAACGAACTAGTGAAAACATCATGAGGATTATTTGACATTAAGTATCTGCCAATAGATCCCTTTTACCTAAATCTTACACACTGGACCTTTAAGTTCTTTTTGAATGCATACTTTTTTTGTTAGTTCTTAAGAGTATTCAGAAGAAGATGTTCTTAAATATCTCCAGCTAGGAGATCCAGTGGTTCTTTTAAGAGTTTAGGTCACAGTAGTCCCTGAGATCAAGGAGCTCCTGCAGTTCTTGATTGGTTCTATGAGTTCCTGTGTGAGTTGTAGCCAGGTGGTGGGGTTTTAAGTTAATCAATAGTGGTTTTGGCTACAATTGAAATGGGATTGCGGGAGAGTTTAATGGCTCCAGGTTTCTAAGGGTTTCTAAGTGTTCTTAAGGAGTTTCCAGTAGTTTCTGTTATCCCCAATTTGAGTTACTGAGGAGATGGGTGAATAAAACTCTGAGGTCCCGATGATCTTAAATTAGGATGTGTAGCTTCAGGGGGATTACAGATTTATAACAAGGGTTCTTGATGTGGTTTTGCAGGCTTATGTGAAGTTCCGATGGGTTTTAATGAGTTGTATAGAATATCTTATAAAGATAAAAAGGTTGTTTGGAGGTTGCTGTAACTGACTACCAAGAATTCTTGTGCATGATGGGAGAGTCTAGATTTATTATTTATTAAAGGTGGTTTTAATGATGTTATCTTACTCCGGACTGTTGTGTATGTACTTGTGTGTGTGCACTCTGTTCACCTTGTCAAATGGAAGAAATGCTAAATTAGCAACTGACCTGGATCCCAGGTACTGACAGATATACATTATTTGATGCAGTCAGTCAGCTGTGTAACATGATCCTCACATGATAATGAGAGGATAAGACACTCTTCACCTCACAACTCTATTTGCAGCCTGGATGCCCCATGGGTTGAATACTGGACATTGTCACCTCTGCCTGACCTCACTGCTTATGCAACATGGATAAAGATCAAGCCCAGAGGCAGCAACTGACAAAAAGACTCAAAACAGAATTAATTAAAATTACAAAAGGAAAAGAGGAATGATTCTGGAGTTTGATCCACATCCAAAGAAATTAAGAGGATTTTAATTTTACAGTGATTTGAATTTGAAGAATATGATGGCAATTAAAGGTACAGTGTGCAGAATTTAGTGATATCTAGTGTTGAAGTTGCATGTTGCAGCTGAACACCCCTCACCTCACCCTCTCCTTCCAAACATGAAAAAGAACCTGTGGCAGCTTCAGTTGTCATAAAAACTCAAAAAGTGTTTAGTTTGTCCAGTCTGGACTAATGTAAAAAAACATGGTGGCCTCCGTAGAGAGGGTCCCCTTGATGTAAATATAAAGTATTTAAATATAAAGGGCCTTTTCTGGGGTAAAGAAAACTACAATTCATATAATTTAGATTAAATGAACTAGTGAAAACATCATGAGGATTATTCTACATTAAATTTCTGCCAATAGATCCCTTTCACCTAAATCTTACACACTGAACCTTTAAGATTCATGTTCTTCAGGCACCTTCTTCTGCCTGTTGTGTAATAATACTGATCCTTTAGGTCTTGACAGTATGAGCTTTTGCCCCAGTGGAGTGAAGACTTATGTTAGGTTATGGAAAAGAGTGTGCTGTGGCTGAGGGGGTAGAGCGGTGGAAACCAGAGGGTCGGCGGTTTGATCCCAGTTTCCCCATCTGCATGCCGAAGTGTCCTTGGGCAAGATACTGAACCCTATATTGCCCCTCATAGAAAAAGTGCTGCCCATAGATGACATACACTGTATGAATGTGTGTGTGTGTGTGTGTGTGTGAATGGCAATAAACTGTACTGTAAAGAGCTTTGAGTGGTGATCAAGAATAGAAAAGGCACTTTGTTATAACAGATCATTTTCTATACGAGGGCAAATCCCTTTGAGGCAGTCAGAGCAGAGTCCTTTGTGTTTCGGGGCCCCAAGAAGAATTGCATCGTCATGTGGGTTGACAAATTAGGTTTAATGTACATCTCTGCAATTGGCTGAGTGTGTTCACCTGTGTGACCCGAGGGCACGGCAGACCAATCGGCAAGAGTCGAGACCGAAGCTGACGAGCTGCCTGGATGGGAAGACTGTGGCGTGATGCTGTGGTGCAGCAGCGTGTGTGTGTTTATACTCCACAGAGCAACTGTGAGTCCAAAGGGTTCAGCTTTTGTTTGAATAAGCCTGAGGGAAAGAATTCTAAGGTTACATCAATACTTTTTTTTTTTTTTTTTTTTTCTTTTAAATGAGAAATGTGGTTTGATACAATACTTGATACTCCTGGAACTGTCTTTGGGAACTCTGCACGTTAATCTTATTCAAATGTAACACTTGGAATAATAAACATCCTTAACAGTCAAACATTCATCTCCTGTTCGACTGTAGACAGGAAGTAAACATGGACCCAAGCTTGTTTCTTAGCAACACCGTTCCTGTGAAGAGGATTTTAGCAGGGAGCGTCCCAGAATGGTCTAAATGTAACAAGAACAACCAACTAGGGAAAATACTTTTTCTAAAGTGGTGGCTGTTGCTCAGGAGGTAGAGAGGATCATCCACTAACCAAAGGGTCGTGGATCGGTCTGCATTCTAATGTTTCCTCGGGCACCGAACCCCAGATCACCCCTGACGGCTGTAGCGACAGCGTAGGAATGGTGTGTGATAGAAACACTGTTGTGAATAGAAAGGCTTGATGAATGTGTGACTTGTACTGTAAAGCGCTGTGAGTGGTCGATAAGACGAGAACATTTCTATATGAACACAAAAATAACCTTTTAATTCCACTTTGTCATGTGTCTTTTAGGATATTAGGGAGAACCTATTTCAGCTCAGCAGGCATATTTGCAAATATGAAGGTTAA